GAGCTCTGCAGGCAGCGCTGGGAGACTCCACCATGGCCTGGACCCCTCTCCTGCTCCCCCTCCTCGCTCTCTGCACAGGTGTGCTCATCAGTCCCTGCCTCCACGCAAGACAGACTCTGAGCTAGACGTGAACGAACCTGGTGCTCAGCCCAAGAGGGAATCAGAGAGAGACTCCTTGGAAATGGATCCCTGCTCCTCACATCCCCTCTCTCTCTCTCCTCTCTTGCAGGCTCCGTGGCCTCCTATGAGCTGACACAGCAGCCCTCGGTGACAGTGGCCCTGGGACAGACAGCCACCATCACCTGTGGGGGAAACAGCATCGGAGATAAATATGTGCAGTGGTACCAGCAGAAGCCAGGCCTGGCCCCTGCGCTGCTCATCTACAAAGACAGTATAAGACCCTCAGGGACCCCTGAGCGCTTCTCAGGCTCCAACTCAGGGAACACGGCCACCCTGAGCATCAGCGGGACCCAGGCCGAGGACGAGGCTGACTATTACTGTCAGGTGTGGGATACTGATACTAAAGCTCACAGTGACACAGGCAGATGGGGAAGTGTGACCAAAACCCCTTCACCATCTGACTCATACTCTCGCTGCAGCCACAGAGGACTGGGGACAAAGCCATGAGGAGGAAGAGCCTTTCTCACCGGGTCTGAAACCTCAGCTGGCCCTGTCCTCCCTGGCCCAGGCAAGCTCTGTAGGTTGTATGGCAAGGCTGGCATGACCAGGCTGTCCTCCTGTGCTCTGGGAGGGAAAAGGAGGAAGAGGTCCTCCGAGGAAGCACAGAGGAGACCCCATTGCTGACTGTGGCACCCGGGTCTCCGTGAGTGCACCGACTGCTCCTACACCAGGACCTCTGCTCACACCCACCGCCCCTGCAGGATGCCCTCAGCTGCCCACCTGCAGCCACAGCTCCCAGGGCCTCTGGCTCCTCAACTCCCCTGCAGGGGGCGCTGCAGAGCTGCTCCTCAGGGCTGCCCCTCCCACCCCTGCTGCTGCTGGGAGCCCCTGGGAGACACAGAGCTGTCCCCACTAGGCATGGACACTGGCTGCAGAGCCCCCACCAAGGCCATGGCCACTCAGAGGGAGGTCAGCTCTAGGAAGTGCCCGAGGACATCCTGCCAAGTGCCCGTCTCAGGGGACAGTGACCCGAGGGGACGCCAGGTTGTGTCCTGCATTGCAGTCACAGGCAGGTACACAGCTGAGGGTTCCTCTGTTTCTTCACGAAAACCTCTTGTGGCAATGTTTGCCCTGGGATCCTTGTTCCTCAGACCCCCACCGTGAACAACACCTGCACACAAGGTAGCGAACACCCGGAGAATTCCCTGGATTCCATCCGTATCCCTGAGACCCGAGGAGCACATCCCATAGGAAATGGACACCTGAGGAAGAACCAGCCACGGTCATCGTGACTCTGAGGGCACAAACACACACTCGCGAACGTTGCTCACACACACACACACACACTTGTACAAATACGCAAGCACAAAATCAACACATGTGCATATCCAATGCACATTCACACACAGTCACACCGCCGTGCGCACACACACACACACACACACACAGCTCTGACTGTTCCTCCTGTCAGTGTCGCAGGGTGAGCTCAGCTTTCTTCCCTCAGCCCTGGGGAAAATGAGCCATACTGAATCGACTCCCACCACAGGCAGGATGCCTCAATGGAGCCTGAGAAGGGGTCACACTGCTGCCAAAAAGCTTTCCTGAACGCGGGAAATCAAGGCAAAGAGAGAAGTCCTAGACTCCCACACAGTCCCCAAGCAAAACTTTCTCAAGCTGACTTCCTGCCTCACATCCTACCAAAATTCAGGAAACAGAAGCCATGGATACAACAGCCGACCCGTCCGTCACAGGTGGAGATGTCACCAGACATGAGCTTTCCACACCAGGACGCACAGTCGCCGTCATTGGGACCACGAGCCCACGAGGCAGAGAACTGATGAACATGTTATACGGAGCAGAGGAAGGCAAGAAGAGCACCCCACACCACAATGAATATTAAACCAGTACTTATGCACCTCGCTGACCTCCGTCAGTCTGTCCAGGGTTGAGGTGGATGCTGACAGAGCGGCTGAATCCAAGTCCAGGCCCTGCATCTCCACCTGCCTTCACCCAGGGTCCTCCAGCCCGGCCATGGCTCTGCCCTGCTCTACTGCTGGTCTCTGCTGCCCTCTGCTGGACTGTCTTTGGATGGCAGCTCTCAATGCTGCAGAGCACGGAAACTTTGAGGTTAAAGATCTTAGACTTCCCCAAACTTCATCCTCCAGTTTCAGGCTAGTTCCACTCCGTATTCCAACAGGCTGGTTCTCCCCCGCCCCCGGGACTGTCAAGTCCCAGGAATGCTATCTTTATCCCAAGTCTCTGGGTATCTTAGGTAAGAATCCCATCCTCTCTGCGCCTCCCTTTACGCGTCAGTAGAGGGCGCTAGAGGATCTCCGCCAACGGTGATTCTGATGTCTTCAGAAAACGCAGGAATTTCCGCAGGAGAGCTGGGGTGCTGTAGGTCTCCGGGAAACCTCTCAGGAATTGCAGAGCTAGCCCCTGACACTCAGGACTCAAGAGATGCAGACCTCTGTCCTTATCCCAGATCTATATGCTTTTGCATTCCCAAGCCCCAACAGGGAGAAGTTCTAGATGAGATGAGATGGCTTGAGTTTGAAGATGATGGGGGCGGGGGACGGGCAGGGAACTGGGGACACCTGAATCTGGAAGATAGGACTCCTCAATGGCCTTGGAGTTGTGTGGGATTAAGACTGTGGGAAGGGGACTGGGTGGGGGTCCCCCAATACCAAGCAAAATAGAAGCCACTGGACAAGGGTACCCCTCTTCCCCCAAGAGAGATGTGTGAAAGCCCACGGAGGGTTCTGCAGCAAGGACTCTAAGCAGGGGGCCTGCTGGGTGAGCCAGCCGGACTCAGACTTCCCTGTCCAGGTCTGGATCTAGGTCATGGCACAGCTCTATGCAGGAGGGATAGGCCTGGGCAGCCAGAGCTGCAGGTGCACCAGCCGGGGAGACCCAGCCTAGCCATGAAGGTGGTGGAGGGGCAGAATAAGGTGATTCCCAGGACCCAGCCAGCTCCGGATTTCCGACCGTAACCACCATCGGAAGATGCGGTCTGTGATGGCGACATCTACCCAGACACCGTGACCCCAGCTGCCGGGGTCAGGTGGCAGGGCAGAGGGGTAGTCACTTGATGAGTGTTAAGGAGCAGCTGGGGATACTACGTTTAGGGACAGCCCCTTCTTCTGCCCCCAAGCCCTGGGGGGCTGTCCCATGGGGGAAACCACAGCTTCTGACTCCTGGGCAGTCCGTGGGTGTCACAGCCACAGGGAGGGTTGTGGAAGGAACTGTTTCAGCCTGCAGACCCTAAGATATTAGAAGCCCAAGGTCAGAGACAGAAAGGGCCAAGCACTCCAAGTGAAAGGAGGGGGCGTCCCGGGGCTCCCCTGTGCCCCACAGGACTCCATCAGGGCACCCACATCCCTTTTCCATTCAGCATCCTGCCAGTCTCCATGGGCAAGTTGGGGCGCTGGGGGGTGGATTTGCCTAGCACAGCCCTCATTCCAAAACTTCGCCCTGAGCAATGGCTGATCGGATTTTACGTTCACAATGATTGTTGGCAGCTTTGAAAACACTGAGCCTTTTTGTGAAAACCACGGTTTCTTGATAACTTGCCAAGCTTGGCTTTTCAATTTTTCGTTTTGTGAACTGATAACATGATTTATTATAGTTACATAAGTTAGAAACAGTTCGTTCTATACACTACGTCTTAAAATGCTCCACTAAATGAAAATATAATAAAACTACCTGTGCTGAAATTTGCTGGCAGTTAAGGTTATTTTTAAAAAGTAACACTCATTTTATTTGCACAAAAAAATACTTGTTTTCATTTCCTTAGATACTGTGGCAGTTGGTACATGTGATAAACATGTAACATGTTAATATTCTGGGGCCAGCACAATGACTCAACAGGCTGATCCTCCACCCTGTGGTGCCAGCATCCCATATGAGCTACTCCACTTCCAATCTGGCCGTTTATTGTAGCCTGGGAAGGCAGCAGAGAATGGCCCATGTCCTTGGGACCCTGCACCCATGTGGCAGACCTGGACCAGGCTCCCCTGCCTATGTTTTCGGGTCAGCTCAGCTCTGGCTATTGCAGCCAGTCAGAGAGTGGACGACCAGTAGAGGGAGGACCTTCTCTCTTTCCTTCTCTCTGAAAATCTGCCTTCCAAATGAGAATAAATAAATCTGTTTTAAGAGCTAATATTCTGCAAATGCTGTAGACTTACAGTAGGTGAAACTCATGGAATTTGTGGGGAAAAAAAAATAGAAAGCTAATCTACTAGTAAAATACTAAGGCATGACCAACCATCCTTAACTTCATCTGTCTTCTTTCTCCTCATCATCCCGATTGAGGCTGTGAAGGATCTGAGACACTACCTGCTAAAAAGGTCACCTGCCGTGATTTTGTGGCTGGTGGCAGAAGACGCAGGACTCCCGGCTCAACACTCCTGGCTTCAAAACAAACCCCAGCTCCCTCCTCCACTGCCTCACAGAGCTCAAACCTCAGCCCCCTAGGGAGCTGGCCACCAGCCTTGCAGGGCGACAGGGAAGCTGGAAACGCAGGAGATGCGCTCATTCCTGGATTCTCCCCAGCCACCGGCTCCTCAGCAAATACCCAGCCTCACTCATCCTGCTCACTTCTCTGCTGCAGAGGACATCTCTTCCCAGCACACAGATGTGGAAATGGAGTCCCAGCAGTGACTAGAGTGTACATGGACTCAGCATTCCTAACCTCACAGCAACTCGGTGTTTGAGGGATACAGAATCGCTCTCTGCAAGGTCCTGCCTGATTCGGGAGAGGACAGCACAACAGCTGGTCCTGACTTGCCCGAGTGCAGGGTGCAGGGGCCCCAGGGTGATGATCAGACCAAAACCACAGCCTCACCAGACTCCACCCTGGGGGTTGAGTTAGGTAAGGTAGCCATGCTTTAAGACCCAGAGTGCCCTGGGGAGGGGACAAATGTACATCATGTTTGCCGCATGCAGAGCTCCTAGGGCAAGGCCAGGCAAGCAGCTAAGCTCCAAATTCCAACTACAACAGGACAACTGGCAGATGCTCCTTGGGGAGAGAGGCCTGGGGTTAATGGCCATGGACCCTGGAAGGGTCTGTGCTGAGAGCAAGGACCAGAGCTGGGTCCACACTGGAATGCACTTGGATGGCCACCATCTTCGAGGAAACCAGGGTCACCACCGTTCTCCAGTGACCTACACCATACGTCCAGCCAGAGATGACTCTGACCTTGAGGGCAGAAGAACCGCCCCCAGGCAGAACTGAGCCCCGATGCTGCTGCTGGACCTGAATGTGAATACACAGGACTTGACCCTGCCAGCAACATCACAGAGTAAGACCCTCGGAGCTCTGGAATCGGGACGGGAAACAGCAAGCAGATTCAGCCTGCAGAGCCTGAGAGGCAGGTAAGACTTGTGCAAGTCGCAGCAGAGCAGTGCGGGCAGAGGGGAACATGGGGGTCTTTGTGGCTTGAGCCAGTGTGAATGGCCGAGTGGGGAAGGAAGGACCTGCTCCAGAAGAACGGCTGGACAGACACTGGCTTCACTCGTAGTGTTGATATTTTATCCACCATAGATTGGTTTGCATTCATCTTTAGCTGAAGAGTGCCTCAAATTATTGACATTGGTTCCTGAATGTCCCGGTTCTCTTTGAATTTTGTGCATAGTTTGTTTCTCCCTAGTCTTCTGGATGATTCAGACACGGGCAGGGGCAAAAGCCCATGACATGGGATGGCCTCTGTCCCTGCAGGGTGCAGGATGCAGCCACCTCCCCCCAGCTGCATGTCCTGTGTTTTCAAACAAGTGTCCTAAGAGAAAGGGGCCAGCTCTGGCCCCGTCTCCCTTAAAGACATGCACTCAGATTTGTCCATAAATGCCTACCAGGACCAGGCCAGGGCTCTGACACGTTGGGATCATAAGGTCATAAGGTCATTTGGTTACAGTTTTAAAGGAGGCGCTCCCTCTGTGACAGGGGTAACTGGTCTAGTTTGGCTAAACCAGACTGTGTTTATGGATGGTCTTATTAAGCAGATGTTTTGGCTGTGCCTGATAAACCCATGCAAGTGATGCTGCCCTGGAAGTGCTCGTGGACGTGAGCAGGTGGACGTGTGTGGACGTGAGCAGGTGGACGTGTGTGCACGTGAGCAGGTGGACGTGTGTGGACGTGAGCAGGTGGACGTGTGTGGACGTGTGTGAACATGTCCCACATATGCATCCCCACAGGATGGATGTCCTAGCAATGCAACTGCTGTGTCAGAGAGCTTCTGAAAAGTCCAATCATTTCAGTGACTGACTGTCCAATATTGCATCATTATCGGTTATTTTTCTATATTACCCATCTGACAGGCAAAAAATACAAGGTGCTCACTGTATTATAGTTTGTTTGATCGTTGGTGAAATCTATTATGTTTTTGCACTTTAAATTGATTTGAGTTTATTCAGCTTGAATCCTATGGTGTATCATGGGATCTCTTCCTAGAGGTGGGATGTCAAACCCTTATTTACTAAATACATTGTATTTTTCTATCAGCTTTTTTTAATGCCTTCTATTTATGGGATCTTTCATCATAAAGCAGTTAAATGTATGTGCTGTGTTAGTTTGGAGCCTCTTCTGGGTCTCCCACGTGGATGCGGGGTCCCAATACTGGGCCATCCTCTACTGCTTTCCCACAAGCAGGAAGCTGAATGGGAAGCAGGACCGCTGTCTACCCTAGTCCCCCACATGGGTGTCAGGGACTCAAGTGCATGGGCCCTCATCCACTGCCTCCTAGGTGTAATAAATACAGGAAGCTGGATTGAAAGTGGAGCATCCAGGAGGCTCACTGGAGGCCAGTGTCACGAGTGGTGGCTTAATCTGTTGCACCGTAACGCTGTCCTCTGAACTCTTCGTGATTACTCTGGTCTGCTTCATATGTAGAAACCATTTTTCATTTCATTCTGGTTGTTGCACTATTTTAGTGGGTTGTTGGTGTTGGGGTTTTTTGTTGTTACTTGCTTGTTTACTTAATCTCAAAGTTTGTGTTCATAAAAATATTACCTATTTGTTTTCCAAATGGAAAGCCAATCATCACACATTTGTTTGGCCACGCATGTAACTTGTATTAATTACTAAATGTTTGGTTTATCATGCTCCCTCTGTGGTTTTCTTGTTTGTGGAAGTGGAGCATCCTGCACCATGCTTCTCTGTTTCAGTCATTTTAGCGTTACCGGATTGTTGTTATCTGGCAAGGAAAGGACCCATCGTTTAAGCCAAGTTTTTCAAAATATTGGTTTGTTTTTTATGGCTGAATTTTAGAATCAATTCTTTAATTTTCAAAAATCATGCTTTTGGTGTTGTGTTTGGCAGTCTGTGGATATAAAATGAAACTGGAAAGAGCTGAGACTTGACAATTTCCAGCAGCTTCGCCTAGGAACATGATATACCCCTCACTGATGGATTCTTACATCTGCTTGTCAAGTAGCTTCCTGTTTTACTCACACAAATCGTGCAGGTTTTGTTATTTATTTCTCAGGTCTCTGTGATACAATTTTGTTGCAGGTGGAAATTTTCCACCAGTTTCACATCCTAAAATGTTGTCTGGGTAATTCTTGTGTTCAGACACTCTAACTCATATCATAATTCTAACAGTTCTTCAACTCCTTCTGTTCTTGGCATTTCTTCTCAGTGTCACGTGTAAACAATCATATTCTCTCTTTTTCCTAAGACTTTTTAAAAGATTTATTTTTATTATTTTTTTATTGGAAAGGCGGATATACAGAGAGGAGAGACAGAGAGGAAGATCTTCCGTCCGATGATTCACTCCCCAAGTGAGTGCAACGGCCGATGCTATGCCGATCCGAAGCCAGGAGCCCCTTCCAGGTCTCCCACGCGGGTGCAGGGTCCCAAAGCTTTGGACCGTCCTCGACTGCTTTCCCAGGCCATAGGCAGGGAGCTGGAAGGGAAGCAGGGCCACTGGGATAGAACCGGCGCCCACATGGGATCCCGGGCATGCAAGGCGAGGACCTTAACCACTTGCGCCACCGCGCCGGGCCCCTTTTTCCTAAGACTTAAACTATCCCCCCCTCCTGTCTCAGCTCATTGATTAGAATCTGCAAAATACTTCAGAGAATCTTCAGGAATATGAAGTACAGGAAAAGTTTATTTTTGGTGTAAAAACAATTAATCCATGCATTAAAAGGATGTAAAAATTTCATGAACAAATGCTTATCACAAAAAAACCTATGCATACATTTCAATTTTTACACGAAAATAAATATAGTTCTATTCCATTTTTGAAGTGTGAACTTTTGAAGTGTACTCATACATTGAGGAACAAAAGTGGAAGTAAGCAACTCTGCCATGTTTTTCCTTTATATGTGGAAGTTATTTGGAAAGACTTATCGAGTTGAGCAAGTTTCCTTCAACCATTAACTTAATAAAAGGCTGACTGCTTGCTTTCTTTAAATCAGAAGCAAGTTTGGGGCTCATATTACTATTCTATAAACTTCTGGTTCAAAAACCTTATCTGCCAGTCTTAAATACAACCATGATCAAATGGTCCCACTGCTGAATTAAGTAACTGTTAACCTAACGCAGGGGGTCATCTTCCAATGTAAGTAAGTTATTATGAGAAATAAAATCAGATTGGGCAAAGCCTGAGGATTCTTGCCAACATAAATTCTGGGTGTTCGTTGTTGTGGTTGTTGTTGTGTTCTTTCTCTTCTGAGTATCTGAAGGGTGTTTGGTGTTGATTCAGGATATCTAGGAAACAGTTCATCAATGAGGGGAATGATATTAGTCTTCTGATTTGGAGAGAAGTAGGTGAAATGAGGATACAGCAGGTTGAGGTTCCTGAAAATATACAAGCAGAGACCAGATCAGGAGGAAAAATGCTTGTGAGCCTGGATTCAAGTTTAGAGGAGAAGAGCGGGTGGTCTCAGACACCAAGAAGTCACCACAAAGGGAGACCTGCAGAAATAACGAGGGACGGGAGGGCGAGGGGTGGGAACTGCAGGTCTAATGGGGATAAGGACTTTGTTGGCCTTGACCTGAGAAATTTCATGGAGAGCTAGAGGTAGGAGCCAAGGAGGCTTTCCTGTGTGAAACAGTCTCCGGTACAGACAAGTTGGCAGCATTGTTAAATGGATGAATGAAAGATCCACAGATAGACAGACAGACAGATGGACAAGTAGATATATTGATGCATGGAAGGATGATTGACAGATGGCAAGATAAATCAATAGACTGATGGATGAAAAAAAACAGGTGCACAGATGGGCAGGAGCATGGATCCGTAGATTGATGGATGGGTCAAACAATCAAGCAACAGCTGAAGAGATCGAACTGAGAGTGCAGAAAAGGCATCATGAATGAGGTGGGGCTGATTGGCAGCTCCATGAGTGCAAATGAAAGCAAAACGGTCTTCGTGTGGGAGTGTCTTGAGTCAGAATTGATCCAGAGAGGCTAGCCTGGCAGAACCCTGGGTCATTGGTCAATGAGGAAGACCCTAAACCAGGCAGAAGTCATGCGGGTCTGAACCGGCTCAGGTCTCTCCGCCATATCTCAAGAGAGGAGTCATTCTGTTGTGGGTATGTCAGTGAATTAATGACTTTGAGGAATGGTGATTGGAATGACAGACATTGCTATCCGACTGTCTCCTGTCCCTGTACTTCGATATCAAAAGCTCTGTATGATAAAAGTGTATCATAGCAGCTGGTATAGGTTAAGCAGCTGCAAGGGGCTCTGGTGCCAACTGGAAGCCTGCTGTTTCATTTCCCATCAGCTGGGTCCCTGAGCCGAACACAGCACACGGTGATACACCTGCAAATATTCATTTGTGATCTCAATAGATACAGACTTTAAAATATCTTCAAAATATTATTAAATATCAATAAACATATTAATAATTCTTTAATATGCAAATGTGTTATGGGACAGGTTCTTGCCAAGGGGTGCCTACAGTCCATGCCAGAGGGCCTGGGTTTGAATCCCTGGTTCGAAGCCTAATGCCAGCCTCCTGGGAAACAGCAAGTCTCTGAGGGCTCTAGCAGCTAGACCCTTGTCAACCGCATGGGAGACCCATGTGTTCCAGGCTTCCTGCTTGATCCCAGCCCCAGCTGTTGCAACATCTGGAAGGTGAAACAGTAGACACAAGATTTGTCTGCACCTTTCTATCAAATTTTCATTACTATCTGAATAAAATGAAAATAAGTAATTTCAAAAAACAACGTTGAGGTGGGTACTGGGAGGCAGCAAGCGATGGCCTCAGTGGAAGGTCCCTCCCACCTGCATTTAGGGAGCACAAAATTACATGAAATCCTCTTCTTTTTCTCTCTCCCCTTTCTCTCTTCCTCCCCACCCCTTCTTTTTCTCTCAAGTAAAAAAAAAAAAAAAAAACTCTAGATACACCAAAAAGCTGCTGGAATCTCAACAAACACCTTCAAGTCACATGGGTGTAAGTGTATCAAGTTACATGTTTTGGAGCTGTTGTGATTTTACAATCATCCTCTGTTTGGCGAGGGCCGATGAGGTGTGACACCACTGCCTGTGTCTTTAGCTCGTTTCCAACCTGTGAAGATCCCGGCTCTCCAATCTCATCTTTTCTCTCATTCTTCTCCTTCCTCCTACAGACCAGGGTCTGTGGGGCAAAGATCTGGTCCTGAGGCCACCTTCGTTCCCGCAGATTCTGCTTTTCCTGCAAGGGGTCTTAGATGGAGAGGAGGAAGAGGATTCAGTGGAGTTTGGGTGACCCAGTACCCAAGACACTTCGCTACACCAGGAGTCGCCCACACCTAGACACCATCGCTTAGAGACTGTGGCCACAGCTGCTGGCCAATTGCTCTGCCCTGCATAGGATAGGGCGCTGTTGTCACTGACTCAGATGTTCCACAGTCTCCCTTGTGGAATGAGGCGGCAGATCAGCCACATCAGACAACTGATAGAAGGGATGACAGAGGATGCTCTCAAGGACACCCAGAACAGGCTAATGATTTCCAAGGGGACCAGCATACCTCCTGCCCAGGCCCATCCCACGTAGGGAACCCCCAGGGATAGTGAGACTGGCACCTTTGGAATCTGGCATGGAGCAACCTGAACTCCATGACATCCGGTGCATCCTGATGACATGGACCCTCTATCCTCTCCCAAAGACCAAGGGATCAAGGCCGTATCAACTCTCAGAGAACACACCACGTAACTACCAGGTGACTTCACTACTAGGTGACACAGATGTCATATAGTGAGTTTATTCCCATCTTGGATGACAGGCACAAGCATAATCAAATGCAGGACAACAAGTCCCACCTAGAGTTAGGGGCATGTGGGGACATCTGTCATGTTGATGAGCTGGGGAGACAGCTGCCCTCAGTAGATACCACCTGGGGCACTGACCCAACCTTGCTTTGTCACAGCTGCAGCTGGGGGTGAGGGGTGGGTACGGGCACATCAGGGAGGGGTTTTTGTATGAGCCTGTATCACCGTGTGCTGTGTTCGGCTCAGGGACCCAGCTGACCGTCTCTGGTGAGTCTCCTTTTCCCCTTCCCCGCCCTCTCCATGGTGTGTGGAAATATTCTACCTTTTTTCCTTCATTTTCTGGGTCTTCTTCCCTGGGTGATCAGGGTTCCTGCCTGAGCCAGGCTCTGGGCAATGACCTCACCCCTTCTTGTTCAAGCCTTACCTGCCTCAGGCAATCATCAACTGCCCTTACTCTGCCGGGGGCAGAAGCTCTGACTGGATGACCTACCGGCTAAGCTCCTGGACCCCTTTCTTTGGCTCTGTCCCTCCCTTGCTGGACCTGTGTTATAACAATCTTCTCTGGGGGAACACTTGGGCCGTGTATGTTAGGGAACAGCACTCTAGAGAACTCAAGACAGTGGGAACCGGAGTTAGAAAGGGCCAGAATGTTGAGGATACAGGGTAGGCAGCCACAGGGCAGAGGTCCAGGACAGGTGCCTGAGCTGTGGGGTCTGGGATGCAGGACCAGGACCAAGGAAGGAGGGAGAGGGTACTGGAAGCCACAGAGGGAATGTCAGGGTCACAGCTGAGCAAACCTGGGACTCAGGGCAGCCAGCACTGGGGAGAAGAATGCTCTCAGACACCCGGCTTAACAAAGGTAAGAGTCACAAAGGTAAGAGTGGCTGGAGGGTCTGCAGGAAACATGCTCAGCACATGTCAACTCCAGAATAAACGGGACAGAGTGAGCAACAGAACAACTCTGAGCAGACACGGAGTGACCAAAAATACTCACCAGGCAAGAGAAGCACTAGACCAGGCAGACAGAGCTGATCCTCCAGGGCCCTAGTGCAGCACACAGGCTCAGACACTAGGACCAGTAATCCCCAATAAAACACAACGGGCAGAGCAGCCATGGCCCCAGCCCGGGATGAGCACACAGGAGACACATGGCTCAGGGGACAGAAAACTCCAGACAGACCTGCCACTGCCAGAGAACACAGGAAAAGGAGAAGGTGACATGTTGTCTGGGGACTCATGGCATCTGGGTCACTGGACTCAAACCTGGCTCCAGGACAGGGCTTCTCATAACCATGAGAGACATTTGAGAGAAAAGCCCAACACGCCCTTCTCTGCATGGAAGCACTCCACACCTCACACCTGCTGCCCATCTTCCACCCCCCACAGGTCAGCCTACAGTGACCCCCTCGCTCAATCTGTTCCCACCCTCCTCTGAGGAGCTCAAGGAAAGCAAGGCCACCGTGGTGTGTCTCATCAACGACTTCTACCCGGGCGCAGCGGCAGTCACCTGGAAGGCAGACGGCAACACCATCACCCAGGGTGTGGAAACCAGCAAGCCCGCCAAACAGAGCAACAACAAGTATGCGGCCAGCAGCTTCCTCAGCTTGACGGCCAATCAGTGGAAGTCCTACGGCAGCGTCACCTGCCAGGTCACGCACGAGGGCAAAGCCGTGGAGAAGAGCTTGGCCCCTGCACAATGTTCATAGGCCCCCACCACCCTCACCCACCACTGGGGACTGAAAAGCTGCAGGACCCGAGAAGGGTCTCACCTGGTCCCCCACTTACTCCGGTCACCCCACCCTTCCCCTTGAACTCAATCAACTCTCAATAAAAATCCTCACTTTTCAATCAGAAACCTTTCTCCATCTCATTTTGTTCACTGACATTGCGTGGGGTTCTGAGTGTGGGTAGTGGGATTCTGACATCCAGTGGGCCTCTGGGTCTCTCAATCATGCCCAAACATCACCCAGGGCCTTTCACCAGCTCCCCACTAGACCACTTGCATTTGGTTCATTCGGAGCAAGCAGTGTCACTCCCTCCTTGACGGGCCCCTCCTTGCTCAGAGCTCATCATGGCAGAGTCACATTTCCAAGACACAGTCAGGTTCTAGTCACCTCCCGAGCTAACTGGTCCCTGCTCAGGGACATGGGAATTTCTGCGGGATTCATTGCCGATCATCACTCAAGCCCGTCAAACCCAAGCTATGCCTTCTGCCTGTTGTGACTGAGGAGGAGCTTGCCCTCACAGAGAGCATCCCCAGGGCTGGAGTCCTGCAGGGCAATGCCTGGGGCTCACAGCGCAGATTCAAGGGTCATGAATGGGATCCCTGGAGTGAGTGGGACAGGACTCTGCAGCTGCTGACCCTTATTTCTCAGCCATAGTCCTACAGGAACAGAGGGTGACCTACCTTGTCCCAAGACAGATGTCACTCCTGGCAGGACTGACCAAGTGAGGACTCCAGGCTCTGCTGTCTCTAGCAAGTGGTGGGAAGGATGGAAAATGGAATACACCAGTACATTCTAGAACTTGCATAGTGGGAGCTGGTTGAATAAAGACAGTGACGAGTCCCTCGGCAAGGAAACAGTGAACATACTGTTCTCCAGTAAGTCTGCAGTGCTCTTTAGTCCCAGGAGCCCATGGCCGCTCAGCAGCCCAGGGATGCTTGTACCACTGCTGCTCGGGTACAGCTGAGGCACACAGGAGGGCTGGTGTGTGTTCAGGGAATCGTTGTATGGTACAGTCAATGCTGACGCAACTATGAGATTGGGGTCTCAACCATGCTAAATCTGACCAGTGAGATCAGACTCCAGGAGTAAGTTATAGAAGAACGTTGAAGCGGGCCCGGCGCGGTGGCGCAAGTGGTTAAGTCCTCGCCTTGCACGCCCGGGATCCCATATGGGCGCCGGTTCTAATCCCGGCAGCCCCGCTTCCCTTCCAGCTCCCTGCTTGTGGCCTGGGAAAGCAGTCGAGGACGGCCCAAAGCTTTGGGAACCTGCACCCGCGTGGGAGACCCGGAAGAGGCTCCTGGCTTCGGATCGGCATAGTATCGGCCCGTTGCGCTCACTTGGGGAGTGAATCATCGGACGGAAGATCTTCCTCTCTGTCTCTCCTCTCTGTATATCCGCCTTTCCAATGAAAAAATAATAAAAATAAATCTTTAAAAAAAAAAAGAAGAACGTTGAAGCATGGAAGGTGAGGAGGTTCTGCCTATCGAAGCAGAGAAGTGGTGACGAGCATTGAATGAATTTCTGTTGTCTGTCCTACAAAGCTGAGGTCAAATTCAGGCCTACAGTTGGGGCCAGGTCAGACAGGGCTACGGAAGCATGTGCCCTGGAGTCACAAAGAAGGTCACATTTCCAGGACACGTAGCTCCCACCAACATCTGTGTCCATTAGGACCTTTTTTCTCCATTGATCCCCTGGTCCCCACAACCCAGGTGCATCGCCACCCAAGGCAGAGACTAAGGTGCTGTGCCTCGGGCTCACCAGGGCCAAGGCAGCCGCCCTCAGCAGAGCTCCTTGGGGGCCACACAGCCCAGGGCACAGCACAGACACCCAAGCTCTGGAGCCTCAATGCAGCATGCAGAGGGGTCTACATGGATCTGGACCAGAACCTCCTCTCCCAAACTCCAGCCTCAGAGTAACAGGGGCGTACAGGGGTCCCAGTGGCACTCAGCAGCCGTCTGACCCCATCACAAAGTAGAAAACTGAGCTGTCGAGACCATACACAATGTCCTGCTGACTACAAGGGCAGGATCCAGCCATCCCAGGGGCTGCCTCAGAACTACCCTCCCTGTCATTACTTTACATTTCTTTTTAAAATATCTATTTATTTTTATCGGAAAGGCTGATTTACAGAGAGAAGAGACAGAAAGATCTTCCATCAGCCTATTCACTCCCCATGTGGCCACAACAGCTGGAGCTGAGTCAAGCCGAAGTCAGGAGCTTCTTTCGGGTCTCCCACGTGGGTGCAGGGTCCCAAGGCTTTGGGCCGTCCTCAGCTGCTTTCCTAGGCCACAAGCAGGGAGCTGCATGGGAAGTGAAACAGCCAGGACATGATATGGCACATACATGGGATCCTGGCATGTGTAAGGCAACAAATTTAGACACTGCTACTGCACCAGGCCCACAATTCTTTTTTTTTTTTCTAAATTATTTATTCTATGTGCAAGTCACAGCCACATCTATCCTGTTACTTAGCTGGGGAAGGCAGCTGGGCTGATGCCCTCAATGCATTCTACACACCACCCGGGGCTGTGGCCCCGTCTTGCTCTGTCACAGTGCAGCTGCAGAGTGATAACTGGGTACGGCAGACCAGGGAGGGGTTTTTGTTTGAGTCTGTAGCACAGTGTTGGGTTTTCGGCTCAGGGACCCAGCTGACCGTCTCAGGTAAGTCTCCTCTTCCCCTCTCCTTTCTGCCTTGTCCACGGCCAGCGGGAATTTTCTGTGGCTTTTGTTTGATTCCTGGGTCTGGTCTCACTGCCGGTCATGGTGCTTCCCTGAGCCGGGGTCCTGGGGATACTACAATCTCCCCTTCCTCTTCAGCCCCAGTGGCTCCAGTCGGTCCCCAACAGTCCTCCTAGCTGACGGCAGGGACTTGGACTGGATGACCTACTGCAGACACCAGCTTCTCCACCTGCCCGTCTCTTCATCAGCGGCTACTGGTGCCTTCATTTTTCTTCTGCTCTCTCCTCCCACGGCTGTTGGCATTTGCTGCAAATGGTTTTGATCACTGTGGCTTCATGCGGGTCCCATGTTATGGGGAAAGGGACGGGAGAACTGGACAGTGGGAGGCACCAGAATCCTCAGGTTTGGAGTTGGCCAGCCACAAGGCAGGGGCTCAAGGCAGCAGCCAGCATGGATGACTTAGGAGCAAAGAAGGAGGCAGAGGCGTTTCCCAGGGACTGTGAGCTGCCAGGAACACAGCTGAGCTGGCTTTGATCACAGAGCAGCCTGCAGAAGGAGGGAGGGCTCCAGGCACTGAGCCTCCAGGTGAGGTGTCATGCAGGAGAGGGAGAACTCTGGGCTCTGCAGGATTCAGGCTGAGGGCAGGTCACCTCCAGAATGGACAGAAGGACTTAGTGAGCAGCAGGAAACCAAGACGCCTAATACACCAGGTGAGTAAGAGAAGCACTAGCCCAGGCAGACAGAGCTGATCCTCCCGGGCCCTAGTGCAGCACACAGGCTCAGACACAGGCTGGAAAGCAACAGATGCTACACACACGAGGCTCAGGAGTCAGCAAAAAACACAACAGACAGAGCAGCCATGGCCTCAGCCCGGGATGAGCACACAGGAGACACATGGCTCAGGGGACAGAAAACTCCAGACAGACCTGCCACTGCCAGAGAACACAGGAAAAGGGGAAGGTGACATGTTGTCTGGGGGCTCATGGCATCTGGGTCACTGGACTCAAACCTGGCTCCAGGACAGGGCTTCTCATAACCATGAGAGACATTTGAGAGAAAAGCCCAACACGCCCTTCTCTGCATGGAAGCACTCCACACCTCACACCTGCTGCCCATCTTCCACCCCCCGCAGGTCAGCCTACAGTGACCCCCTCGCTCAATCTGTTCCCACCCTCCTCTGAGGAGCTCAAGGAAAGCAAGGCCACCGTGGTGTGTCTCATCAACGACTTCTACCCGGGCGCAGCGACAGTCACCTGGAAGGCAGACGGCCACACCATCACCCAGGGTGTGGAAACCAGCAAGCCCGCCAAACAGAGCAACAACAAGTATGCGGCCAGCAGCTTCCTCAGCTTGACGGCCAATCAGTGGAAGTCCTACGGCAGCGTCACCTGCCAGGTCACGCACGAGGGCAAAGCCGTGGAGAAGAGCTTGGCCCCTGCACAATGTTCATAGGCCCCCACCACCCTCACCCACCACTGGGGACTGAAAAGCTGCAGGACCCGAGAAGGGTCTCACCTGGTCCCCCACTTACTCCGGTCACCCCACCCTTCCCCTTGAACTCAATCAACTCTCAATAAAAACCCTCACTTTTCAATCAGAAACCTTTCTCCATCTCATTTTGTTCACTGACATTGCGTGGGGTTCTGAGTGTGGGAAGTGGGATTTTGACATCCAGTGGGCAGTAGCTGCCCCAGAGCATGAACAGACATCACCCAGGGAGTCCTTCCTCACCCAGCTTTTCATCAGGGCTCCCTGATGAAGCCCTAAATAACTGCATCAACAAGGGTTGGGCCAGGTCACAACCAGGAGCCCAGAACTCAGTCCAGGTGACGCACATAGAACAGGAACCCAACCACTTGAACCATCATCTGCTGATACCTGGTGCATTTGCAGATGCGGGATCAGAAGTAGAGAGGCCAGAAATCAAACCCTAACCAATCCCAGAATGGGACGTGAGTGTCTTGAAGCACCGCACCAACTGCTTGCCCTAGATAATGTGGTGATGACGGCCCTGGAACCCAGGCCTAGCTGAGCAGCTGCGGCAATCCCGAGCAGTCAGCTGAAGAGTCTCGATGTTGCATCTGTTAGTGCAAATATTCCACTCTGTCTCCAGTAGCAGAGATTGGAAGCCAACTGCAACATAATTTTTTAAAAGGAAACTAACAATAATTTTTCAGAATCAAAAAATAAGTGCATCTTCTCATCCAACAAGGAGGCATTTTTGTCAGTTCTGCTCTGGAGAAGAAGTCACAGTGTGGTTGGTAAGTTGCAAGAAGTGTTGAAATCATGACATGTGCTTTTTAGTCTGCTTGAGGCTGCAGGCATCTCCCAAGTCAATTTGTCTTTTTTTTTTTTTTTTGCAAAGCAGGAGCAACGGGAGCTTTGCAGCTTGTCCCAGGGCCTTCCCATGTTTGAAGTACAACCCATGGGCTCTCCACCCCACCGCAAGGATGGGAAGGCTCCTCGAGGGTCCCTTTGCTTGCATTTCTCCTGCAGGATGTCACCTCCTGGGGATTCTCAACACACAGAGTCACCTGTCCCATTTGTGAGCAAGGCAGAGACAGGCAGCCAGGCATCCTCAGGACACTGCAGATACAGCAAGGGGCAGTGGCCCAGGCTTCCCCCTCTCCAGTTGCAGCTGCAGGGTAGGGATGGGTAGGTATCTTCCAGGGAGGGATTTTTGTATGAGTATGTGTCACAGTGCTTGGTGCTTGGCGGAGGGACCAGGTTAAGCATTGCAGGTGAGTCTTCTCTTCCATCCCTGCCCTCCCCCAAGGTTTTAGGTAATTTCCTGCTGGTTTTTCTCCTTTTCTGTGGCTTTCTCTGTATGTTGTCAAGGTGTCTGGACTTACAACCCTGCCCTTTCCCCTTTCTGTTGGGTGCTTGCTTCAACTGGACACTAACAGAGGCAGGGGACTGGACAGGACGACCTATAGAGACTCACTGTCTGTCTCAGACACGTGGGATCCCTAAAACTTGCTCTGCTTTATCCTCCCACATCTGGGCTCCCATCAGATAGGCTCAGTCTGTATGGTCCCTGCAAGAGCCCATCTCATGAGGAACAAGGCAAAAGAGACCCAGGAAGGGAGGGTGACCACCAGGAGATAAGACATGAACATGGAAATCTCAATGCTGGGGCTGGAGAACCACAAATCAGAAGCTCAGAGCAATGTGCCCTGGTGTGGGACACTCAGAATCCTGAGCAGGAACAAAGTAGGAAATCAAAGACCCAGGTTTCCTGGCTCTGCCACGCCTGTGCCCTGAGCTAACTGGGGACTTAGAGGACCTTGCTGGAGGGAGGAAAAGGGTGAAGTCTGTGATGCCAGGAGGCTGTGGGAAGTCACAGGATAGAGGATGTGGCAGGCAGGTGCAGGTATCTCTGCAGACCACAACTTCTCTCCCACAAAGGTCATGGACAGACCCTCTGGTGATGTGACACTAGGCAGAGGATACCAAGAAAGACTGTAAGATAAGAAAAAGCCACGGTCAGACAGACAGACTACACTCCTCCAAAGGCCCTACCATCACAAGAGAGGCTCTAGACTCAGTTTGGGTGCAAATGGAACCTGGCGGGAAGGGAGGCCTCCTCATACTCAGAGTAGGGGGTGAACCAACAGCACAGCAGTGCTTGAGACGTAGGCTGAGGGACCCCGAATATGTCAGGAGGAGGCAAAACTAGAGTGTGGCTCAGCTGTCTGTGTGGAACACCAAGACCCAGAGGAGCAGGGATGGGAAGGGTGCAGGCTCAGCAGTGAGCAGGACGCTTGGCAGCTGTGTGAGGCACAGCAAGCCTCCTTGTCATCTCTTCATAGACATTCAAACTCAGAGAAGCCCTGCCCAGGCCGTACCTCACACAGAGAGGCCAAGGGCACCCAGGAAGACACTAAGCCCTTGACCTACTGCCACATCTGCCACCTCACCAGTCAGCTCCCAGTTGCCTCCTCGGTCACTGTGTTCCTGCCCTCGTCTAAGGAGGTCAAAGCTGACAGGGCCACCATGATGTGTCTCATCAACGACTTCTGACCGGGGCAGGTGACAGTGGCCTGGATGGCACCACCATCACCCAGGGTGTGGATACCACCAGGCCTTCCAAACAGAGCAACTGCAAGTACACAGCCAGCAGCTTCCTAACTCTGTGAGATGCTCAGTGGAAATCCTACAGCAGTGTCACCCTCTAGGTCAGGCATGAGGATCAAGTCTGAGGGAAGAGCGCAGCCCCCACACAAAATACTTAGAGCCCCCACCCCGGTCCAGCCCCGGGGACCAGGAGCTGCAGGATCTGAGCAGGGTCTCACCTTGTACCTTCCCTACTCCTGAAATCCTGCCATTCCCTCTGCACCCAATAAACTCTCAATAAATATCCTCACATCAATCAGAAAAATGGTCTTGGTTCTCATTTATTCATGTGCTTTCCATTCTGAATTTCACCATGTAGACAAACATGGTGAAACATGACCCAAACATGTCTTCTGGTTTTTCCCCCCTCTAAATCACTCCATCTCAATTTCCTTGCCTACCTACAAGTGCAGTGACCAGGTCCATGGAAGCACCCAGAAGTTTGTTCTAAAACAAAAAAATAGAACCGACAACCATGCTGGCACACTGGTATTCTTAATAATAATAATAAAAAAAAAAACTTGGCATTTACCAAGCCCAGAATGCCCACCAGCTATTGGCTGTTTTTCTCCCAGCAGTATAACACTTGCGTACTACAAGGCAACCTAGGGCAACATGGCTCCTATGCTAGGAATGAGACTGTGCAGGCAGGGATGTCTCAGGGCTGGCCCAGATGCCATCCTGGGCCACTTAGGACATGTCACAGTGCTGGTGACCCTCATGATCCATGAGAAGGGCTTGGCCTGGTCCCAACCCTGTCTCATCATATGCCCTGGGCTGAGGCAGGTATCTGAATCAGATGGGGGAGGGACTGTGGCTTCCTCGACCAGAAAACTAGAGCCCAGAATAGCCATGGGTGCACAGGGTGCTAGGGCCCCGGGGGAGGGGCAAGTGGCTGTCTGAGGCCCTGGAACCTCCTAGACAGTAAGGTGGCTGCTAGGGCCCTGGGGGAGGGACAAGTGGCTGCTTCAGGCCCTGGAATTTCCCAGACAACATGATGGCTGCTAGGGCCCTGGGGGAGGAGAGGAGCTGGAACATCTTACTGAGCTGAGCTTGTAACTCTACCATCTGGCCTAGCCTCCGTAGGAGTGCCTGGGCAGGGGACCTCCTCATCCTTCACTCCACAGCATTCACTAAGCCGCAATAGCAGTGGGGAGGGAAGCTCTAGCCCTAGTCTGTACTTCCCGATGTCAAGGTCCAAAACTAAGTTGTTTATCCAGCTAGGAAACACATGCTTTGGGGTACAAATGGCATTGTCATAGTCTACTACAGTGCCCACAGGCTTAGTGACATGGCTAGATGACAGTCACATCACTCAGGGTGGACTCTCCTTCACCCCTCGCTCCTGACACACCAACTCCTTCTCCAGGGTGTGTCCCCCTGAGCCCAGTCCCATGTCCCCTTGCCCCATCTCCAGAGCACAGAATCCTCAGTGTCTCACCTGAATCCTTGGCTCTCCCCACAATATACCAGAGGCCCTGAAGGAGCCACATGCCGTGGCTCCTGAAAGAGATAAGTGCGTGCAAGGGTTTAAAATGTATTTATTTGACTAAAGGGCAGACAGAGAGACAGACTGAAGCTAGCAGTCACCATGGGGATCCTGATCTCATATGATTCCATTCGGAAACCCCAGGAATGAGCTGACTCATCCCATCTCACAGAGGTCATTTCTCACTCAGCAATAGCAGGGTGTGCAGGGGATCGTGGAAGTGCAGGGTTCTGGGAAGCCCTTGCCCCTGGGGAAAATACAGGTACTAGGGACAGTGTCTCGGTACCATCAGGAAGGAAACCAGGGAGTGGGCGACTCTGTAGCAGTATCCCAGAACTGGAGTCATCAGAGGTCCCCATGTCTACCCTGGGGACAAGCCAGCAGATGGTTAAGATGATGTCCGCCACCCTACCCAAAGAACCTCCAGCTGGTCCCACAAAGGCTACCCCTGTGGTAGTGACCCCTCTTCCTGTGGTTGCATCAGCAATCACCCAATCTCATCTGCAAATCCCTCTTCCTCCTTGTCCCAGACAATGTCTCCCAGACATCCACTGTATCAGATGCTGTGTGAGATCCTGTGGTTCCCACAGGTGCTCCCAGCCAGGGCAGTCTCCGCCTGCACAGGGAAAATCTGGGCCTTCTGACCAAAGAAATCATAGAGGAGAAAGTGGCCATCTGGCCCTAGTCACAGGTCACATGGGGCACTTAGAGCCTCAGATACACCATTTTCTGAACCCACCACTCCTCCCCTGGAGAAAAGGAAAAGCAAAGGCCAGGCTGTGATCTGGGCTCCCAACAGAGGCTGAAAGGGCTGTGTGGCCCCAGACAGCCAAGCAGCTCCCAAGCAGTGGCTTCTGGGCCTGAGGATCGGGTAGGACAGCTGCAGGTACAGAGGACCCAGACCAGTCAGGTTAGCCCATGATCAGATCAATTCAGTCCCAGTATAGACCACGACCTAGAATGGCTGGACCCCAGTACACATGCTGCCTAGAGCAAAGTCACAGGTTCAGACCTCTTTCCTAAACAAATGCTACAGGCTGGCTATATGGTGTGGCTGACAGGGCAGGCACAGCCCAGACGGGAGCACTGGCAGTCTGTGAGAATGAAGAACTTCTGGCCAGGAGGCCATGGTCTAGCAGCTGCAGACAGCTGGGGGCCAAGAACCATGACTCTAGGACAGGACCTGGGGGATGCTGAAATTCAGCCTCAGTTTACCCCCTGTGCAGCCATTCCCTGGACAGCAAGGAGGTCCAGGCACACAGAAAATGAAGACTTGGTTAATCACTGTTGACATTGGTCTATTCCAGCCACAGGTGGCCTCAGGTCAGTCTCTAAACCCTACAACCTTCTTCCTGCAAGCCCTGGCACCCTTGCCCCAGTGCAGCTGGCTGGGTGAAACCAAAAGTCCTTGAGGCCAGAAACAGCTGGGGAAGTCCCACTTGGTCCCAAGCCTAGCACCAGGTGCATCCCTCTCCCTCTGTTTCCTGAAGTTTCCATGAGCTCAGCTGGAGAAAGAGTCCTTGTGCCAGTATCAAGGCTACTCAAGCCCCTAAGCCCAGACCTTTGCCAAACAAAGTCTTGAGGTCATGATCAATGGGCAATTTGTTCATGACCCTGTTTCAGCACTCTCCAGGAACTGTTCTAAATGCTGTCAATCACCTCATGCTACCAGGCGTTTGGAGCTTGGAGGAGCCCTAGGGGACAGGAAGCAACCCTGTGGGTTCCACCCAACCTGTTGCTCCCAGATCTTACTCTTCTGGGGGAAGGAGGAGGGTATAAAGAGACCCTCATTATTGTTGCCCTGGAGAACAAGAAGACTAGATATACAGCTGTCCGCCAGGAGTTCCCTCCCTACCAGGGGACCCATCCCACTTGGGAACTCATGCACCCATTCTTCCAGGAGGCCTGGCCCAGACAGGGCCCTTAACTTCCTGAGTGCCACGTCAAGCAGGACTGGCCCAACCATGGCCACCACAAGGCCTGGAACCTGCCTGTTTCTTCACTGTGGGAAGAGGCAGAGGGGAAGATTGACACTGGGATATCTTGACTCAAGGTGGATCAAGATACTGAGGCCAAAGGGAAGGAAAGAGTCGTAAAGGGCAGGGCAACACAGTGAGATATGCTGTCCCTGCCCACTGGGTGGCCAGATTCCCCTGTCACCTCCCTCTACTCACACCCTATCCTCCACTGAGAATAAAAGGTCCCAGGATATTCCTGGGCTCTGGGTCCCAATGGGAGTTGAAGGGGCAAGCAGGTATCAGACACTGGGCATCATTGTACGTGACAAGTCCCTTCCTCCTGGTGAGACTTTACCAGCTCACTCTCAGGGACACCAGTCCATAGCTTCCCCTAGCCATTTTGGGAGCTCTGGTCTGATCTGACCTGCCATACATGACCATCGCACAAGTCACCTGGTTTGTGAGATGGCAAGTGTCACACGCACATGCTAAGACAAGGTCCTCCCCTCCACCTTCCCCCCCGCCCACCTTCCTCCCTACACGCCCACCTGTGGGCCTGGACTTGCCATGGTGAGTGAACTTCCTATTACTGTTGGCCAGTGAGTGCACACAACCTCAGCCCAAGCCAGGTGCCAGGATAAGGCCAGCTTGGGGGAGGCTTACCCCTGCCCAGTTCAGAGCTCAATGCTGCAGATGGGATCGAAGACAAAGATGAAGATCTGGAGGTTTCTGCATGACTGGCAAACGTGTCCAACAGGGCCAGGAGCTGGCAGCAAGCAGAGGCAGCAAGGAGATTCGCAGGGGTTCAGCAAGAGAAAAGGCACAGAGAAGTAACTACAGCAAGCCTTCTCTGCACAAGGCTGCAGCCAGGGCACTCAGGCCCCCATTAATGCAGCTAACTCTTCTGCCTCCAAGACCCCAGACTCCTGTCTCTCACAACACCTGGCCTGTCCTGATGCCCCCTCAGAGTGGGCAGTGGTTCATGCCGTGGTTGGACACCGCTTGGGACACTCACACCCCATGTTGAACACCTGGGTTTAAGTACCAGCTCCAGTTTCAGCCCCCTGCCAATGCATGGCCTGTGAAGTAACAGTAAAGGCTTAAGTCCATGAGGTTCTGCCACACACATGAGAGACACAGATCAGGTTCCAGGCTCCAGCTTCAGCCTAACCCAGCCCTGGCCTGTTACAGATCTCATTTGGAAAACGAACCAGAGAATCCCAATCTCTCTCTCTCTCTCTCTCTCTCTCTCTCTCTCTGACTTTCAAATAAACAGATACATGTATATATACTTTCAAAAGTCCTTAGACTCTTGTCTGTGGGTAGGGCCTGCTGTGAGCCCGACCTCTGCCAGGCAGAAGACAAGAGAGGAGGAAGTCGGGACCTGCTGTGGGGAAGAAGATTTAAAGACAGCAGAGCTGAGGGAAGAAGAGAGGACACTGGGAGGCAGGCCCGGGCAAGGGCCTAGAGGACGTCCTGGAGCTCTCCAGGCCATGGCAGTGCACACAGGCTGAGCTGGGTCAGTGAGTCTCAGTATCCCAAGACCAGGGACTCAGCAAAGAGGGCAGGACAGGACAGGGCCCAGTGAGTGTAAGGTCAAGAGTAGTGGCTCCAAAGGCCTCCAAACTGGCCAGATCTGAGATTCCTGTGATGGGACACTACTGAGTGACCTTATTTTTATACCTTTTATCAAATATGAGGATGTATGTGATTGTTCCATTTTACAGGTAAGGAAAAGAGAGGCTCATAGCAGTTAAACACCAGAAAGCAAGAGAAAGCCAGCTGCTGAGTGTCAGGACTCACAGCCCAGAGCTTCCTACTGAAGAATGGGACAAACTGAGGCCAGGAGAGGACAGAACCCACATGAGCTCACATGGGGTTCACCTAACTTGAAACACAGGGCTCCCCACCGGGTGCTGAACAAGCTCATGTGAAGAGACCTCCCACCATCCTTTCATAGGTACATAGAGGTACAAAAGGAAGCCCCAAAGACATACATCATACAGAGCCAGGACTACAAACTCAGGGCAACCACTTCCCAGGGCAGCCATGGGGTGAGCACCCAGCCAAGGGTTGGTGACAGGGCAGGAGTATCCAGAGTGTTGTCCTTCCTGGAGGAGAGTCTGCTGTGGAAGCCCAGACCTCAGGGTCAGATGGGGAAGGTCCCCACCCACACCCAGCCAGTACAGGCTTTGACCTTGGGTGATGAATTCCCCTCTCTGGGCCTCAGTTACTCCTCTGCACAAGAGGGTGATGGCACCAACTGCTCCCCGACAGGGTGAGTTTTGGGTTAGTTGAAATGATATCTACGGTGTGCCTGGCCCATGAGGACCCCCAGCATCCACACCTGGCCAGCCTGCCTAGGGACCTGTCTTGTGATTCTGGGCAATTCCCGTCCGCTCTCTGCATACCAAGGAGAAGCTGTGTGAAGAGCCCCAAGGGTCCATCACCTGGGAAATCACAGGCTTCCTGGAAGACAGAGCTTACCAAGGAAGTCTGGGTGGCCATCAAGGTCTGGGGTGGTGGTAGGATGGGGGCGATTCCAGGGGAAGGAGTCTCCTCCCCCAGCTCTGGTGGGTCCGCCTACAGCTGGCAGCCCCTGGAAATCCCCAGGCTAAAGTTAGCCCCAAGTTGGCTGAAACCAAAACCTGGGGTGACAAAAGTAGAGCATGAAGGGGAAGAGAAACCAAGTCCAAGGCCACTAGGGCGTGTGGGACGGGTCACAAACAGGACCAGGTGTGACTTGCAACGGGGCAGGGGCAGTTTCAGGGCTGAAATCGGATGTTTGTGCAGCTCACAGGTGGGGACAGCAGAGCCCCACCCTTGTCCCATCCCACCTCTCCCCAGCCCTGGGTCTGTGCCTGATGCTGCCCCCTAGCTGCCTCCCGGCCCTTTGAGTGCTAGCCTAGGTCCTGGTATCCCAGAAGGCCCCACCTGCAGGAATCTCAGTGGGGCCGGTGTTGTGAACCATATCACAGTGCCCGATTGCAAGCAGGTCCCCAGGAAGGGGGGCCCAGACTCACAACCTTGTCTTGGCAGAAAGGAAGGGCATGGGTGAGTTAGCAAAGGCACCCTCCCCTTCTGAGACCTGTGAAGCTGAGGGGCCTCAAGAAAATATGGTCGAGCCTTCCAGACATTCCTGCATTTGTCCTTTGTCTACTGTCTGGGAAGATATTTCCTTTTGACCCAGAAACACTGCTCATAGAAAGTGACTGTGGTTTGGTGCGTGTGGGTGCATGGCCAGCATACAAGTCCAGAGGTTACACGGTTACTAGAATCCACACATCTCCAAGCTGCCTTCCATAAGGGCGACAATCAGATATCCACATTAGGGGACAGTGGGACACAGGCAGGTGACAAGAGACGAATCCATCCTTACATAAGGGCATGATTCCATGCAGATAAAAGTCGGGAAGAATCCACACGAACCCTCCAACAAGGATTCACTCCTGTGGTGTGAGATCAATATTTGCTTTACATTCTTGATGCCTTTGTATGTCTTCTGATTTTTTCAGAAGAGCTATATTAGTTTTAAAAACATAAAAATAATAAACTGATGAAAGACACAAGATCTGGAATAAGCACCATGGCACACAAGCTAATCCTTTGCCTACAGCACTGACATTCCATATGGGCCCTAGTTCATGTCCTGGCTTCTACACTTCCCATCCAGTTCCCTTCTTGTTTCTGGGAAAGCAGCAGAGGACGGCTCAAGTCCTTGGGACCCTGCACCCGTGTGGGAGACCCAGAAGAAGTTCTTGGCTCTTGGATTTGAATGGGCTCTGCTCCAGCCATTGTGGCCATTTGGGGAGTGAGCCGGCGGATGGAAAATTTCTGTCTTTCCTTTTGTCTATATATCTGCCTTTCAAATAGAAGTAAATAAATCTTTGGAAAGAAAAGACACAGATGCTGGGGTAGACACTGTGAGGAGAGTACCTGGGATTGAGTCCCATCTCTGTCCCGGATTCCCATCTCCCTGTTCATATGCCAGGGTTGGCAGCAGATGGTGGCTCAGGCACTGAGCTCCTTCCACCCATGTGGGAAACCCTGATGCAGCTCCTGGTTCCTGGCTCCAGGCTGCTCAGTTCCAATGACTGGCATTTGAGAGCAAACCCAAGGACAGAAATGAAAAATCTGTGTGTGTGTGTGTCCCTCCCTCCCTGTCTTTCAAATATTTTTGAAGAGGAAAGAAAGACATGCAAGGCCCTCAAAATGCAGTGGCTAAGAAAACGTGCATGGCATTTAACAAGGCTAGGAAAGGATTTATCCCAAAGAGCTCACGGGGCAAGAGGTGACACGTGATGCTACCATGTAGTTCAGCAGTTAAGATCTCACTGGGGACACTTGCATCCCATACTGGAGTTTCTGGTTCAAGTCCCAGTTCCTTCCCTTTTGATCCAGCTTCCTGTTAATGCACACCTTGGGAGGCTGAGGAAGATAGGCCCAGTACTTGGGTGCCTGCCACCCACACAGGAAATCCAGATTAACCCTTGGGCTCCTGGTTTCAACGCAGCCACCCAGCCTTGGCTGTTTCAGGAATCTGGGGAGTAAATAAACAGATGGAAGATCTCCTCTCTTTTTCTTTCTTTCTCTCT